AGCAGCAGCAGCAGCAAGAGCAGCAGGAGTAGTAGTAGCAGTAGTAGTAGTAGTAGTAGTAGTAGTAGCAGTAGTAGTAGTAGTTAGTGGTAGTACGGGTACGACTCCCTCATTCAAGAAGCGAAGCCTACCAGCGTTTGCTGGCCAGGTGGTTTGTTCAGAACTTACAGCATCGTACAAGCTCTTCCTTGTTTGCCTCATCGTATACTCAAGCTTTGGATCTGTGCTACAAGTCCTCTACTGTCGCCAAACACGGGATGGCTCACAAGCTACCAGTGGACACTTGTAGACTTGCTGCTTGGGAGCGTGCGAGTGTCACAGCCTTGGCTTTAAACATCTATATACTATCAACCCCAGACCCCCACATCGCCACACAGCAAACCCTCGTTGAAAACTGTAAATGGCCGTGAAAACTCGGGGCCATTTGCGCCCGTGAAACCTTGTAGTAGGATATCCCTGCACCCAAATCCTGGTCGCCAGCGTGCAGAGGATGCCGACACAATGTAGGGTCGACGAGTCGGAGGAGTTTGGGATTTTGGGGTAAGGAGTTCGGGGCTGGGTGCCAGGGGTTTCCTCGACCTGCTCAGGTCGTTGCAGCTTTCCCGGGAATCATGTCCAGACGCAGCCTCGGCTGGTCAGGCAGACCCTTCGCGCACTGTGTGAGCCCTTTTGTACCTTCCAGGGAAGGGCCTGTTGACTGAGCCATGCTAAGATCGGTGGGTGTTCTTTCGACCTTTCGACTTCGGCTTGTGGTAGATTATGCCGCTCCGGATGCCAATGCGGGTTTAAAGTCTTGAGGCAGTCAGGAGTTTAGCGATTGCGAACGAGGTTTGAAGGATAGCCTTTTGGGTTAGGGGCTTTGGGATGTGAGGGAATGCAAGCGGCTTCGCTTGTTCCCAGTACTGATAAGCAGCTTCCGGCAATCCTTCTGGACCATACAGATCGATGATGTGGAGCTCAGGCACCGCCTGGGAGTTTCTGTACTCTTAGTAGCGTCGCATACGCAAGATTCAACTATAAGCAGAACAGGGGGCCTCTGGTAGGGAGATAGCACGTACCAGAGCAACTCTTCTTCTCTACTGGCAGAGGCTTGTGGCTCAAATCACCCCGCCTCTCCCCGTCTCCGCCCTGACGATGGGCAGTGACAAGCACTGGGAAGTCGTTGGAGGTGCAGAGAAAGGAGGAATTCTGGTCCGGGAGGGTGCCGAGCTGAAAGCCAAAGAGCTGCAACCGCGGCTTGGCGTAGGCGCGGCAGACAGAGCGAGTCGTTTTTGTTTCGATTTATGATCTGGCTGTGTCAAAACAGGTGCTGTGGTGGAGCAAGTTGGTGAGCTGCACGGCGAACGACTATGTTTTCGGAAGGTCTCTGGGGCTGGCCCGGAATCTGGCTGGGTTAGCATCCGTGTCAAAGATAAGCAGCTCAGATGGCATTGAGTGTTTTTTGTCCGCTGTCGGGTGCTAGCTGAGCCTTAGCACAAGCGGAAGCACACCCTGAGGCAGCTGCTCAAGGAGCTCAGCGACGAGCGCGAGCATCCGGAATCAGGAAAGCAGGAGCAGGGACCACTGGATCTTGCTCTTGCTGCACTGGCTCTGGACTCGAGCTCAGCTAGCGGCCACCGAGCGGTAACGAAATTGGATGCATGCTTACAGGAAGCAGCTCCCGACGCTCCTTCAGAATTGCTGTTGGCACGCGGATTGCTCAACTGGCGCCTGGCGCGCTTTGAGCGCGCTCACGCGGACCTGCAAGAGGCAGCTCGAACCTCTACATCCGCGGCACCCGCGTTGCTGGCTCTTCTTCTTTGCTGCTCTAGGTTTCCAGATGCCCTGGCTCTTTGCGATTCCTTGGGTGAGAAGGATGTGCACACCCTCGTGGAACAGTGGCGGAGCGAGGCAGAGAAACTCTCAAACTTATTCTTTCCGTGTTCTCGCGAGCCGTGTTCTAAGCCCAAAGAGATCTTCGATGGCATACGACAGACAGACATGTTGTTTCATGCAACTGATGGCACTGTCTTGGGATTGCGCCTTCTTCTGCAGCATGACAACGGCCAGCCCCGCTTGGACAGACCTTTGGTACTCGTTTTCCATGGAGAGGATGAGAACATTGACAGCTTCTGTGAAGAGGGCAACTTTGAACCCTGGCGAGCCGCGAAAGTTAATCTGTTGATAGCTGACTTCCGCGGCTATGGGTTTTCCTCGGGCACTGCCTCGCACTACAATTTGAGCTTTGGAGTTCATTCAGCACTTCTCTGTACATACCCTAAACCCTAACCGCCTCGACTGCGAACATATGGATCCTCGCCTGGCTCGTCCGAGTTGTGAGAGTGCAAACCGCCTCAAGAGGAGAAGGGGTGTGCCAAAGCTCAGGCGAACCGATGGCGAGCTGATTTGTGACGCTCTTCCGAAGCTCCTCGGCGAAGTGGCCTGGCCCTGGCCCGGTGCTTCGGCTCCTGAAAGCAAGATCTAGTTTGATACAATACTAGCAATAATAGTTATAATCATAATCCGAAGAACAACCATACAAAATGATGATGATGATGATGATGATGAAAATACTGACATTCTACCTCTGCAATCTGCCGCGTATGCCCACAGAAATGACCAGAGAGTCGATGAAACCATGTAAGACAGGGCCATTGATCTCTGCACCAAACTCTCTGAGGGATGAGAAACAACAGCACAGCTGAGGCGGTTTGGCGCTCTACGGACATAGCCTGGGATCTCGGGTGGCATGCTACCTTGCGGCCGTGCGGAACAGTGCATTCCCAAGCTTGGTGCTGGAGACAGGCAGAAGCAGTGTGAACAACCAAGAAACTGTTTGAGAGACCCAAAAGAGATCGTGTCAGGGTGGTGTGGCAGCTATGCTCCGGGAGCCCAGCCGCTTCCAGAACCGCCACAGCACACAGCGCTGGCGACCATGGGCTGCAACGCAGCCGGCGACAGCAGATTTGGAAGTCGCGACTTGCACATGGCTGCTGCGGCCATTACAAGGAAAGCCCGGAAGCTCTTAGCAGCGCCTTTTGCAGGTATGTGGGCCGCAGAAGGCTTGGGTTTGGGGGTTGCTTAGTGAACATCCACCGCACATACTGTACTTGCAGTACAATGTTTGAGTTCACAAGCCATGTGGGAATTCATTCTGTTCTTGCGGCTCTATCTGGCGATGTTTTGCGCAGCCTTCTTGTGCATGCTAGCAGCACAATTGCAATTTCTGTCCTTGCCACTATGGCCAACCTTTTGATGTCTGTCTGTGGAACACATGCTGCCGCTGCTACAGCCCAGGCATTGGAGCGAACATGTCAGCCACAGCTGTCGCAACAAACGTTGCCCACTTCTGCTTCATGAAGGGCAACGAAGATTTCATCCAGGGCTTCGACGGTCGGGTGCTGATACTGCACGGTGATGTCGACCACGTGGTCGGAGGGAGAAGATTACGAAGAATAAACGTTTCACGACTTGTTGCACCATGACAAAGTGAATGCCCAAGCCCCAACATACAACACGGGTTTGCCTTGCATTCCCTGTCCAGGTGCCGTCTGCACATGCGCGGCGACTGCATGCTGCCGTGTCGTCTGCGTCAAAGCGGCTGGTACTTGCGAAAGGCAAGCGCCAGGATAGCCTACGCGGCAGCACGGAGTATGCGGAAGCTCTTTATGCCTTCTTCAACGAGGCAGACAAAAAGTGAACAGGCGTTGATTTGGGACGAGCGACAGCGCCTTTGACCGTGCTCCTGGCAAGGAACTCCCTTCCAGGCTTTTGGGGCACGAGGGTCATTAGATGCCTCGTGCCATATCAAGCCTACATTAGGGCTTATCGGTCGGTCCGGACAAGCGACCCGTCCGGGCACAGAGATGACTTTTCTGGTTGAGGTTCTGGGGTGTTGGAGAGGTAACCAGGCATTCACACCTCCGTTCCTGCATCTCGCACGACTACGCAGCTACGGCGTTCATTGCTGCACAAAGCAGAAGCTTTTGCTGCCGTCTTGTGCCACTGAAAAAGAAACACCTGCCAGCATTTGCCAGCCAAATAGGCTGTTCGGAATTATAGGGCTTCTTTCAAGCTCGTCCTTTGCTGCCTCAACGCATGTTCGTGCTCCAGGGCCTCTGCTGGCCTACAGTCGTAGCCCTGCCGTCTCGACCCCAGACTCATAGACCCAGAACCCCCAGATCGCTACACTGCATATAGAGGCCCAAACCCTCGTTGAAACACTTACTTGATGATGAAAACAGCGCGGGGTTGCGCACTCTACACGTAGTCCCCCAAAGCGAATTCGTGCCCATGAAGATACGCCGGATATCCTCGCACCCAATCTGCAGAGCCCCCAAATCCTGGTCGACAGCGATTTGCAGCCGGGTGTTTGACAAATGAAGGGTCCAAGGGTCCAGGATAAAATGTCGTTCCTTGACCTGGTGAGGCCTTTGCAGCGCGACGAGAGCGTGTCCAGACGCAGCCTCAGCTGCTCGGGCAGTGTGACCCTCTAGAGCACAGCTGTTTAGCAGCTTGAGGGGTCCTGTTAATTCAGCGATGCCGAGGTTTAAGTGAGCCTGCAGCATCCAAGGCATTGCGCTCTGGCTGTTCAGAATTTAATGTGCTCAAGACTAGAGTCTAGAGGATATGAGATTGGGCCTGGGGGTTTCGAGCTCAGTGTAGAGGATGTGGCTTTGGACGCGGACTTGTTGTTGAGGGCTGGAGGCTTAGAGGGATTGGGGGCTTGGTATCGCCTTTGGGAATGTTACTTGCTTTCTCGCGGATGTGAGGGAATGCAGTGCACTCGCTCGGAGCCTCCAAAAGATCATCCTTGCAGGAACTCTGATTAAAGAGGATTCCCAAGGGGACTTGAGGATCTCAAACTGACTGGTGTCCATCAGTCGGAGAAGGCATTCTCGCCTTTGCTAGTGGCATAAGTGCCGGTGAATTTGTTGTTGGGATGAGGCCTGCAATGGATTTTCGGGCTTCAGGCCAGGTTTCATCTGAATGGCTTACTAACCGATGAGGGCTTCGGGTAGGCTCTGTCGAAACAAGGGTGCTGAGCGTGCAAGTGGGACACAGTCCGTTACCTCCGAGAGAATGCAGCTGTATGGACTCAAGTACATACCTACATACACACATACATA